AGATTTATCGAGCCTAAAGGGTTAGGTAAACATTGTTTTTCGATGGTGGAAATCATAGTACTGACAGAAAAAATCAGCAGTATCACATATTATTATATCCTCCGCTTGAAAAGAGGGAGGGTATATAGTGATCGGGACGTCCGTCCGTCTGTTACGCTTTGGGGTATCCATCTGTTATCTGCAACTTCTCTTATATATAAAAAGATGTGTTTGTGAAAGAGCTATGCCCCTGTATGGCAACATAGCGAAGATTAAACTTTTCTTAAATGCAATTTCAATATGTTGGTACCCAAAGTGGGGTCTTCTCACAAGAAATAAAATTGCAAAATAGGAAAGCCCTAGCACCACTTGTTCAAACTTAATGGCTAAGGATAAGTGTTTGAAAGGTAGGTCAAACTCAAAGGTCAAAGCTGATGGTTTCTTAAGAAATGTTTTATGTAACAAGGATTACATTTGTGAAGTATGAGAGTACTAGTATCTACAGTTAAAAAGTCATAGCCAAAGTAAATTAATTTGGCATTTTTTTGTAAAATGGGACAAACTCCAAGGTAAAAGGCAAAAGGTCAAATTTGGTGGTACCCAAAGTAAGGTCTTGTCACAAGGAATATACACATATTGAACATGAAAGGCATAGCTACAATAAATGAAAAGTTATGGTCAAGGTTAAAGTTTTTGCGGAGAAACAGACCGCCAGATAGACAAACAGACAAACAGACGGACACGATAAAACTATATACCCTCGAATCTTCGATTACAACGACATAAAAAGAAATGGTCTTCAATTTACATTTCATATTATTATCACCGGGAAAAATAAGTGTCAAACTTTCCGGCAACAATAAAACATAAAAATGCTATCGATGGAATAGCACTTTATTATAAACGTAGGTCGGTAGGGTGAATTCTGGAAATCCAAAAATTGCACCCGAACAATCCGAAGCCTAGGAGTTCACTGATTAACAATGATTCGTGTAACATATAAATAATAAAATATAGCAATGGCAATTAGCACAATTCTGAGCATGAGTGACAGATGGCTTGGATGGCAATTATAACCAGTTAGATTTTGGTCATAAGTTGTAAAGGTAATTCCTGGACTAAATCCGTTGTTTTGCGTTAACGGGGAAGAAGGAATGTTGGCGGTTAAACGAAGTAGTGGCGCTGTGGGCCGTAATAAAACGTAAAGGGTAAAGGTGCCGTATTCCTTATGGTCTTCCAAAATAGAGTCCAAGAATTGGTTAATCAGGTTTCCGAATTTATTTTAGACGAACATACTCAGAACTGGGTAAAAGGGTGGAGTAAAACAAGAATTAAGAAATGTAATGAATACTGTGTGCTAAATCACAGGAGTCTGAAGTTTTTATCGTCCAAAAAAAAAATCCGGAAAAAATTTTCTACCCTTAACTAAAAAAGAACACGGGTTTTTTTAGTGAAGGGTAGGAAAAAAAATTTCCGGATTTTTTTTTTTTTTTTTTTTTTACGGTAAAAACTTCAGACTCCTGTGGCTAAATCAAAAGGTTATGTCTACATGTATAGTTTTTGCATTAGAATGTGTATTTTACACTAGCCCATAGCTTTACAGAGCATGTTTTTAGGTGTTATACCAGCCCACCCTCTTACTTATTTAGTAGGAAGTCGATTATCAACAAAAGCAACAAAAAACTACCCAATCTTTATTTTTCTATAGGGAGGGACTAAAAATAAGCTTAAAATAATCTACTATTCTACTAATTTTCAACTGTTACTTTGCCACAATACTTTCAAGTATACCCCCACCAACATTTCAAGTATGCTTTTATCATGGCGAAGTAAATTATGATATGATAGAACTTGTGTGAAGGCTTAACTTCATTTCAATATTTCATCTAGAGCCTCTTTCAGTATTATTAAAAGGTATAGAGTTTTACTTATATTTTTGCTTTTCATTAATTTTTTTTTTTTTTTTTTGATTTAACGTTTTTTTTTTTGGGGGGGGGGGGTTAAACATTTCCTCCTCTTTCATTGTCAAAAAGGATTTGCCAAACTTTTACAAGCTAAAAGTTGAAATGAAGGAAAAATTAATTTTTCTATATAAGAGTATTGGAACCTGATTGTTGCATGGTTTGATTTCTAAAAACAAGTGGAATATCATTCTTTAAGCAAACACTATAAGGAGGAAATTAAAAAGAAATTTTATTACTTGACAGAATCTCTTTTCACTTTAAAGGGGGTCATTTTTTTATAGGACTAACATATAAAATAATGACCCCTATGACACTTTTTCTACAAAAAATGATTTTTTACTACGGGTAGGGGGTCATGTTTTGTCGTTGAAAAATGACCCCCGGTCAATATTCGATGGGGGTCATTATTCGTCTTTACACCGGCCGGGCCTTTAAACGAGGCGGACCAAATATTATGCGACACCGGCAAGGGTAACCAGCTGGTTCCCTTTAAAAATTGAAAATGCCTTGATTCCTTCATATATATTGAAGCGGAACAAAATGCAAACTTGATCTTAAACTCATGATGGTAGAGTCAATTACAAAATTCAGCTCAATATATGAAAGAGTTATAAAAAAAAATTGCGAATAACCTCATCTTCGCTAGCCATTAAGGGTTTCTGATACGCTATTTTCCTCATAAACTCTTGGCACACGGTGTTTAAAAAAACTGTTTTTACTCAAGTTGTGATTGGGGTGGATCAAATCGTTCGTGTGACAGACAGCCAAATGAGACAGACTGACAGATAGACTGACGGACGGACGGACAGACAGCTACACTGACGGATGGACGGACAGATGAATAAAAAACGAACATTCCCCTCTGTTTTCACCGGTATATAGGGAACTATTTACACAACGATATCATTTAGGTTAACTGTATTACATTAGATTTAATATATGAAAACAGTGGGAAATAATTTTACCTTAGCATCTTCGTTATTCTGTCTTTACAGATCATATGAACAACACAATAGAAGGCCTTCAATCGGAACTCAAACAGACTCAGTTTGAACAATTAAAACTCTCGTCTTCTGTGTCATCTCTTGAGGTGTTCCGATTGAATTTTACCAACAAGCGGTGTGGTATGTATTTAAAAACAGATAGTGTTAGTTTTTTTTAAAACATTGTATTTTTTGTATGAGTAGGGCGTCCACATCATTTACGGCTTGATCTATAAATTCTCACTTCCCTATCCTGAAAAAATCATTTAAAAGTGTAGTCACTAAATAGCAAAATTGATTTCATCTTGGAATTAAAATTTTTTTTATTGATAACCCTACACCTTTCTACAGTTTACTATATACTATTATTCAAATACAATTGATGTTTGTGGAATTTCAAATTATTTTTTGTTTGTTATCCCTAACTTTTTAATTTTTGAATTCACTCTTGAATACCATACTAATAATTTAATTCAAAATTAATAAAGTATTTATAGTTTAATTTAGTAGTATTTTTATATTAAATTAAATCAAATAAATACTCGAATCAATTGAAAATAAAGTGAAACATTACTATTGTGTTTTAGGTGTGTCAACAAAAGTAGTCTTCACCGCGGGAATAACGTCTTCCCACTCTTCATGGAGCGGAAGTACACTGGTTTTCCCCAAGATAATATTTGATACAGGCGGAGGTTACAACCCCACTACAGGGATGTTCACGGCCCCTGTGGAAGGGCACTACGTCTTCTTCGTCAGTGTACAGAGTTATGGTACAAACGACATTCGGGTGGACATTGTATTGAATGGAGAATCCAAGGTCAGGACAATGGCATACGGCAGTGGTGGTAATGAATATCACGAGGCAGGAGTTAACCTGGCTGTGTTAAGACTAAATCAGGGGGACAAAGTGTGGGTCAAACGTTATACTCTGGATACTATTCCGACTCTGTACCTGTTACAACCTTCTCTGGATTCCTTTTGTAAAAAAAAAATGATTACAGTATATGGAAAAGATGAGGACAATGTGTCTAATGGTATAGTTTTCATATGTTCACAAATTCATAACAAGTAGATTTTTTCGTAATATATAGATTCCCCGAAAATATTCCAAGACATACAGTTGGTTTCAATCGAGTTTTATAATATTCAAGTGTTTGAAAAAGGATCCAAAATAAATGAACTATTTAATGTTGCTTCCTATAAAAATTAGTTCATTATGATTTATTTGTCTTGTCTTGTATTTTGACTTTTTATATTTGTATAATCATGGGTCTTCTGATTTTATCAACTTTGTGAATTTAAGTGCACATTCAACTGCGCTAGCAAGAACTTGGAATAAATTTGGATGTTCTCCGAACGTTTCGTTTCGTTATCAATCTTAACTATATGTATGCATCCCATTGTACGAGGTTGACGAAGGATCTTGATGGTATACGAGTTAATATCCTCGCACATAATGAGAAAGAATTTGCAAGAAAAAATATTTAGACATCTTGCTTAAAAAAAATTATATCATGTTGAAAAATTCTTCCGTATATACATGTATTATGAGTACCAGTAGGTTTTGCCATGGCGTTCATCATGACACTCACAAACAATGTACCCCTTTCCAACTACCTTGAAAAGATTGGCTGACATAAAGCAACAAAAAAATATTTCTTATTACAATTATAAAGTGAAATCCTGTGATATTTCAGTACCAATAATTCATACTTTAAAAGAAATATAAAGGAATAATCCAAGAAGTGTTAAAATTATTCGAATTTGAAATACAATGATTCACACTAATTTGGCAATTTTTTTTTATTAGAATGAAACGTTTTAGTCTATATATAGAAGTCAATTATTCAATAATGATTTTAACAGTCATTTATTTGTACTACATGTAGAATTTGTACATGTACGAAGGATACAAACAAAAAAATCGCCGTTTATAAGCAGAAAAGCTAATTACTATTGTTGAGCAAATTAAATGTTCACGTATTTAGTCTGAAGGCTGAAAATTTCAATATCAGCCATAAAGTGCCTATATTGTCTTTTAATTTGTTATGTAGTCGTTAATGATAGCTGCAGCTGCCCTCCTGAGAAATCTAACATTATAAAAGTATAAATTGTCTTTGTTCAGTACATGCTAGAATTAAATCAGACATGGATGTAAAGTTTGGCTATAGGAGATTTATTTGGATTGTGGCTGTCCACATTCTCTTTCAACTTAACTTAGGTTTGTTACTTAATATCATCCATTCTGTTTTTAACAGTTTCAGCTTTAATTATTTTTTAGTTTAAAAAACTGTTCGGAAAATTATATGATTTTGAATTTTTGACATCCTTGCGCATATACGAGGGTTGTTCGAAAAGATCGTGGACGATGTCAATCTTCGTTATACTAGTATTACTCACTAGAAATTTAAAATAAGCACAATATATTATGTAAAAAACTAAAAATATTTGTTTTTTAAATGTGTAAAGTTTCATTTTATTCGATTTAATAGAAATCAATTCACTTCATTTTAAAATCAACGTGCTTTAATTGTACCCGCGGAGCACACTTAACGACAATGTAACGTCAAAACATAGCGTCAAGAATTTCTAAAAATACTATCCCTATACATATAATCCAATGCCCAATTATTCAATCTTTTTTCTAATACTTGAAATTTATTTTTTTAAGAATTGCTCTCGTTGTATAATTTCTTTTGTTAAAGTTTTAATTTCTTTTATTACTTAAGGAGGCTGGGGGTCAACAAATTAACCACAAATTAACCACCAGATTTAACTTATTTTTTAGATACGCAATCTTAAGCTGTCAGCTATCATTTGGCAAAGAAAAAATCATACATTTAATTTTAAAATTTGATCATTTTTGTATATCTTTATATGGAGCTCTTCTTTTAAAGGAGATCGAAATATTCTAAAAATGGTTGCCACCCCCAGCCCATTTAACTCTGCTTTCACAGGATACACAACTCTGAAGCGCCTATGTCTTTCCTTGACGTTCCAACTTTTTAAAGTTTACAGTTAAATCGTAGCTTCACAGATTGTCCTCATCCGATATAGAGTCACTGTCACTCATATACTGCCTGTACTATTTGAATACACATGCACAACTCGCTTGTGACATTTTTTTTATTTCTTCAACATTTTTAGAGTTAATTAAGGGGTTTTCCTAAGTAAAACACAAAATTGCATCGTTATCTGCTGCTCCATGACGTTGTAAAACGTAATCGTTTTTGTCATTTTCAATAAGGACTTCTTGTCTTCTCAAGTTGTTTTCTTTTTAACAAAGCAAAATATAAAGCTATAATTTGGTATACGAATCGATGTAACAATTCTTAATTTAAATTTCTAGGTTGTTTTTCGTTTTTGCTTCATTTTACAGAGAGTATAACTACAGACACTATATAGTGTATTGTCTGTTACTTACTAAATTTTGACCTGCTCCGGCATCGATCCGATTTTTGCATTTTTAAAATCTGGATAAGTTTTGAATAAATCGTAATATTTTGGAAAAATTTAATACAATTCATTTGGATTTATTGTAAAAATATTTCTACCAAATTTGAATAACATTTGACGTCAAATCAAAAAGATAAGACAGTTGTCCACGAACTTTTCGAACAATCCTCGTATTTGTCCTGCTTCTTTTATGCCCATTCGTGAGAGCATTTATGGCGGAAAGGATTTTTTTAATCCAAATGATACTTGTGCAAGGATCCCAGGGAGGAAATGGATAATAATTTGCACAAACTTGCCATGCATCTGTACTTTTATTGACAAAGCTTCATGCAAGCAGCTGCGTAGATCTTTTTAAAGCTATCATGGTCTTGAACGATATACTATATTAGGCTACAGCTGGCCTCTAGAGAAAACAAGCGTTCATTCATACATTGCCTACGTACTACAGACTTAACCGCTACACTAGATCTTAAATCCTACTGTCCAGAAGTATCAAGACCATCTCCAGGAACAGTGACTTTAGAGTTACGAAAAACTTACTCCAATCCCAAACCTCTGCACCAAAAGGAGTGACATCAAATTGGGTTTTCCCTATTGAGGGAAAGAGTTCCAGAAAACCCGAATGTTGAAACAGGATCCAAATGTTCTTTTTGTGTGTTTTGTTTGTCTCTTTTGGGGATTTTTTAAAAATTGATTTTGTTTCTTTATATATACAACTATGATACCAATTCAGATTTTTAATAGCTATCTCTTTAACGTTTCTGGAGGTATGGTAAAAAAAAGTAAACCCATCTTCAAAAATAATCATGTTCTGCATAGTGAATTTTTTTTTAATAGACAAAAAAAACTCTTGTGATGACCAAGTCTACTACTTTAACTTACAAATACAATGAAATTTTGAGTACATGTAACTTCTGAGGTAACCCATAAGTACCCCTGTCTAAACCATGTACTAGTATACAGTGTACCCAAACCCTAAGGTTTTGTTATTTACTTTTTTCTCACACAAATTTCTTATTACATTAACACATTTAAAAGTACTCAATATCGAAGGGGAGTTACAATTTTTAATTTGTTTGTATCGTTAATTATGTTAATGAAGTTTGGGAACATATTGTTTTTACTTTCTTCTGACTTTTCTTCTTCTTCCTGGGTACTTTTTTGTCCTGGAGTGATCTTGTAAACTACATATCCGACTTAGGTAAAACCTTTTTAGGGTCAGTAGGCATGTTAATATGTAAATTTGCGGAACGAAGGTCATTTTGCGCGCACGTGCTTGCAAGAGCGTGCACGTACAACACGTGAAATGACCGATTTAATTGATATAGGCGTAACTTTTTACCTTTTTGATGAAATGCTTTGAAACCCATAATATAAGGATATATATGTAGCATAGACATTATGACATGGTCAAAATAGCAAGATTTCACACGCATGCACGTGCGCTTCCCTCTGATTGGCTGAAACTAAAGTATCAATATCTTTCTAGTTTTTTGACAAAATCCTTTGAAATTTTGAACATAGCCATGCATTAGGATATCCTACAACATGATATATAGCAATTATCGTGAAAACACGTGCATGCACGTGCGCTGCAATCTGATTGGCTTAAACTTTAAATAGCTATAACTCCCTTGGTTTTCACCAAACAGGATGGGATTTAGAACATAGATAGATATAGTGGACTTCTATAATAAGGTATGGTCATCATGCACATGCATACAAGTGTGTATACGTGCGCTGCAATCTGATTGGCTTAAACTTTAAAACTTTTTGTTTTCAAACAAACGGGGTGGGATTTAGAACATATAGATAGATCTAATGGACTTCTACAAGAAGGTATGGTACCGTGCTCATGTATGCACGTGCGTGCACGTGAAATGAGTAAAATCAAAAATACACTTGAATAAGCGGATTTTTTAATACTTTTGGATTAAATACTTTCATATTTAGTATATAAAAGTATATAGATTGTGTAGACAAGATGATATGGTCATTACGCATATGCATTCACATGCGTGCAATGCTAAAATTTGAATGAACTCAGTACACTTCTGGGTAAACGTTGTTAAAGTCTCAAATGCATAAAGTTGGTCTTATTTAATGAAGCTTACAGGGAATATGGCACCAAAAGGGAGTTGGGGAGCGTTTGGGGAACATCTGTAACGGTCCCCGTTACAATTAGCACTAGTTAATAACAGTTTTATGATAATACCACAAACAAATATGATCGTGTCCAATCGATGCTCATTATGTCCTTCTTTGCAAAATCCAGGATTTGCCCATTTTCTCTGTCCTTAAATAGATGCTATTTGTCATTTATAAATGTCAGCTGAAGCGTGTCCTCCAGTAAAACAGCAGGATTTGGTGGCCTGCTGGAACACCGCCCCTTGTTGTGTGGTGGAGCCTAGCTACGTCATCGACCCGTACGGCTTCGGGTGTTTCCGTGGATGTGTCAGAAAGTGCTCTAGTAAGACATTTTATCTTTTCTCACTTTGACATTTTCAATGATTTCTAGTGATTTTATTGTTTATTTATCTGTTTTGTTGTAATCGCTATTCATTAAAACAATTTGAATAGACGAAATTAGTAAAACAGTCTATGGTATACTCAGTATTAATTTACGAAGAACCTCTCGAAAGTTACACCTCAAACGGGGAATTTTAAATTACTTGTAGATCAGTATACAGTAAAACACACTTATATCGAACCAGCTTTTAATGTTTTGACAAAGCAAAGTTATTTCCATTTCCCATGGCATTGAAATATATTATGAATTGAAGTTCGTTATAAACGTTTCTTACTACATTAAACCATCCGATTTCTTTTACACATTAATTAAGAGTAGGTGTTGAAATATTTTTCTTAAAAAACCAATGTTTTAATACGTTTTATTGTCTCTGATTTGCCTAGCTGATGGTTACAATAAATGAGCTCAAAACAAAAAAAATAAATGTCACCTATAACCAGTTGAACATTCACGAGGGCTGGGACATTTTTGACTATAACTACCGGAAAATGCACTAAATTTAACAACATAAAAGTGCACCGCCATGTACAGCTAATGATATACCCATATCATGGGTCCATGATAAACATGACTACAACATAATGCAGAGTCCCGGGTTCGATTCCCAAGCCAACCATACATATCTTTTACCGGTATACTATTACAATATGTTTAATACTTTTGTTTTCACTTACAGGAAAGAATTGCATGAATCCATGCGCAGTGAAGAATTTCAATCTAGAAGACTGCATCAACACAGATCCTAACCATTGTGACGTCAGCCCTATCATGGAATGGGTCAAAGGCAAGCGTTGCTTCAGTGGCTGCACTAAGTATTGTGAATGACAAAAATTGTTTTCCCCTGATAGTGTTCAAATAAAGAGTGTTTATTATGAAATGCCTTCTTTCCCTGTTGACACGTATACTTTATAGTGACTGCTGATCTTCTCTCTTTGGTCTGCAAGTTTCAAGTTTCCGCCTCCAGACGAAACCTACCGATTCACACTTGTATCTCAAGCCGACAGGCTTTCATTCCCCACAAGCATTTAAGGATATACTGGTATATACCTACGGGCCTTACATTTTGGACCAAAGAGAGAGAGTCAATAGTAGCAGGGTTTCACTGGTACCCACATACCAGCCTGTTCTTAAACGGTGTTCTTAGAAAGAACCTGCCAATTTTATTTCATCAGATGAATGACAGAGGTAATTGAGGAAGATTCATTGACTGCCTACTGGAGACTAAATTATAGGATATGGTAGTAAGAACCAGATTAGACAAACCTTTACCTATAGGGAGAGCTTTTAAATTGTTCTGATAGAAGATGTCTTCTCTGTCAGCACAACCCTGATACAGATAGACCGCAACTACAGAATACTAGGTAATTTGTCCTGTCAATTTGTGTGTTGGTGAATCGGGATATATCCGATTATTTTCGAGAAGAATCAAAATACAGTAATCATAGCTCGATCATTAAGACCAAGAAAGTCAATGAACCATTTTCAACCTCGATAGTCGCCAATGGGAGGACATGGCAGTGGTGATTAATGACCATCCCTAACTAAAAAGGAAGATATACTTCGAGAAATGCAAAGGAACGCTCTGAACACAAAGGTTGAAATCATTTTCAATAAGCTTATTTTATCGAAATAATTATCTTCCTATGACGAGAGAACAAATTCATTGAAACAAGATAACTAACTCGTTGAATCATACAATACAAATAAAAATTATACAATAAAAATGAAGAATTTATAGAATACAAATGGAAAATTATATAGAATATAAATAAAAAAATATACAATACAAATGAAAACTTATTGAATACAAATGGAAAATTACAGAATACAAATAAAAATACCCGGTAATACAATACAAATGGAAAGTTATAGAATAGTATTCAAAGAGTACAAATAAAAATTATTACAATACAAATAAAAGTTACAGAATACAAATGAAAAACCATACAATACAAATGGAAATGCAACGTTTGGCACGCCATAAATAATGAGAAAATTATTTCGTTTGAACGAGATGGATATTATTTTGGGGGGAGGCAGCAAAAGTCGGACAGTTTTTCGGACCTTCTTAGTCCAGTCATTTAAAGTTACACAATGAGTCAAACTAATGTGCTTCTTTTAAGATATCTGTAGCACACAGAAAAAAGACTTATGAAAATTATTTAAAGTTACACAATGAGTCAAACTAATGTGCTTCTTTTAAGATATCTGTAGCACACAGAAAAAAGACTTATGAAAATTATGAGTATATAGCTATAACAATTAAACTGCAAGAAAAGACTGCACAATATAAGTGCCGGAAAAACGAAGGTTGTATCTACCGTTTAGATGTTTTCGTGTATGAGAGTTGCAGGAGCTGGAGCTTTGCTAGTTTTGATTGGATAAAGGCTTTCAGATGACAGGTACCACCCCCATTCCATTTCAGGTAAATTTGTCCCTACCAATCAATAATGCGTTTGATGAAATGCTCTCATTATATGGAAAGATGCAGCATCTGGTGTTGGTGGTAAGTTTTGACTCCGAATTGCAATAGGTCCAGCTTCAAGTTTTGTTCCAAATTTCCTGTATCGCAGAATATCCAACCCTTCATTATTTAGGAAGGCCTCCGGAAAGACAAGAGACAGCTTCAGGTCCAGCTGCATCAAGAACTTGTTCTTTACTGGATGTAATGCACGAGAAAATTCTAAGAATTTTTTTTTTGTAATGAACAGAAACTTTTAGTTTCTTAAATTTATGCAACAGCTTTTCCTATGGCGAACATCCTGGAAGGAGTGTCGCATCCGTTAGTGCATGTATGGCAGGAAGCAAAAGAGCTGCATCATCACCTATGATATTTCTTATCTTCCTTATATCCCTTACTTTGCACTTTATGTCTATTTTGAAATCATCTCCGAAATACAAATCATGAAGTCCTGAGCCATAAAAATGTGTCAGGAGAATCAATATATCAGTGTCTGATCCAATTACTATGACGTCTTTTTAAGAAGATAATGAGATTGCTGTCTGGACTATTTTAAGGTAGACATCACCTTCTGCATACAAGACATCATATCCAGATTTCTCCAGCATATCCCAAGAAGATTAATAAATCGTTTTGTGTGTGTGTGTGTGTGTGTGTGTGTGTGTGTGTGTGTGGAATACACCTTTGCTAGACTTAAATGGAGTTTGCAAATCAAAGAAAACTTCTGTTGCATGTATTCTTTAGATCTTGTCAGATGCGCCATGTCCTTGGTACTTGGTTGGCAAGTGTAAACCATAAAAAATGATGACGACATTTTGGTACCCTTTTTGCAAATACTCAAATACTGATCAAGTCTCTCTCCCTTCATCCATGGAACTCGATGCAATAGATTACCACCATCAATAACATGCGTCAAATTTTCCGTAATGCCAACAGCTTGACAGTCTCCCAGGTTCCAGATGTACTCCGAAAGTGCTGATTTGTGGGGCTCTCTCATTAATCCTTTGGAGTCAAAGAGTAATGGTGGTACACTAGATAGCTCATATGAAAGAACATTTGCAAGATATTCCCCCATGTTGTTTGCTGCTGATGCTAAACTTTTAAAAAGTAACTGGGGATCAATCTGCACAGGCTCAATGTCAACTTTAATAAAGTTTTTTGTGTTCATGAGAACAACTTGTTTGGATCTTTTGAATGAGTATCTGAGTATAGATTCTCTAACCATTGAATCAATAATGGCCTGTCCAATGGTTTTGGTCTGATCTACGTTCACATTTTTGTCTGTCGTTACCCCTGTTTCAATTTTTCGGAGTGCAGAACTGCTTTCAAAGGGGTCTGTTTCCTGAAGAAAGGAAACCGTTGTCAAAATGTCTTCCCTGTCTCTTTTCATTCCTGTATCATCTGCCTCTTTGTGTTGCTCACTTGTCACAAATCCAGAACAATTTACTTTGTTCATTACATTACTGGCTCCTGCACAAGCTGGCATTGATAGAATCCATTGTAAACGTTGGGTTTTTGTCATCCCTCTCCTCTTGTTAAGCCCCCGGAAGACTTGATGCTTCTCATTAGAACTTGCTCAATAACGAGGTCCGAGGAAAGTCCTGTCCAGTTGCAATCTGTTCGACGCAAAGTATGATGTCCGTCCAAGAATTTTTGATAAACATCAGGATGTTTCTTGGGGAGGGTTTGCATATCCATAAGGTAGACAAATGGTTACTTTGTATACAAATTTTGTCATGCAGCAGTTAGAAATGGGAGCATTCTAGCAACAGTTGCTAAATGGAACTGCCGATTCCCAGTCCGCTCTGCCTTTATAAAAGCTTTCAAAATCTCTACCATTTCGAGGTATTGTCCCTACAATGCAGCTGTTTTTCCTCTTTGAATACTTTTCTTCACATACTCTGCAGTCTTACTGCAAACCATATAAATCTCCTCATCTTCACAAATGCAATCTAATATATCCTCTCCTTTTGATATCCTGTAATACAAAGATTCAATAGGTGTTAACAACACCATCGTAAGATTCGGTGAAAGTCTGACATGTACAATTTCAAGTCGGATACATACTGGTTTCGACATTTTAAGTCCACTTTTCTTAATATTTAGATGTTAAATCTTAATTGTGGAGCATGCACGCAGTATCAGGGGTTGGGGGTTTGGGGCTGAAACCCCCCCCCCCCCCCATTTTTGACCACAAACATTCAATCTTTAAAGTGCAATCAGTAAGCTAAGGAACTGATTTATTTTTCAGGAAGGAAACTTTTCTGAATAAGTGCCGAGTTATAAACATGAAACTCAAACAAAGCCATGAATATCATTTCAAAAAATGAGCCTTAATTTTTTTAAAAAAAAAATAAACTTTAGGAATTGGAACAGTTCTGGTTTCGTGATTTTTTAAAAATCTTATCTTGAGCATGTTTTGGTCAGGAAGGAAAATATACAGCCAACGTCTTTCACTTTGACACACAGGTTACCATAGTAAACCACATGTATATACTATATGGCAATGAGACAAATTTATTTTGTTGGAGATAGTTCCTATATGCATAGGAACATTGAGCTGTCATACATGTATTTTGATTTCGTATTCATGCGAAAAATCTATCTCACGAATACAAACTCGACAAAATATAAGTTGATATCGTAAAAAAATGCAAAGATATTCATGTATTACAAAGATTCTTAATGACTTTTAGGAGAAAGAATGGTATAAGAATTTCCACACGAAGAAGGAAAATTTATGAAAATCATTGTTCAATGAAAAATGCTTTGGTCCCGGTCCTAAAGACTGTATAGAAGAGCCGTTGGGTGTGGAGGAAAAGGTGGTTGTTACCTTATACTGGTTGGCATCTTTAGCATAAATAGGACGATTGGAATCTTTTTGGTGTTGAGAAGTATACAGTGCTGCTGCATCAAGTTTGAGAGGTCATTATGAATTATCTGCATGTATATTATAGTTATTTCCAGGAGAATGAAAAGGGTGACAAAAACAAACAATGATCGATCTCAAAGAATCTTTAAACAATACAAATACACATGTATGTGAAAAGGAAATAAACACGAACCCTTGGAAATTCAAGGTAGGGTAAGGGGCCAAGGAGGATAGTTACATAAACGGAGAAGGCTTACGTTCAACGAGGTTGTTGAAATTCCGATACAGGATATTTTAGAGCCATTTTTTGTTCCCCCTAACGAAAAATAGCTCTGAAATATCTCTTACGGAAATCCCCCATCAGATTAAATTTTCCACGGGGATCCTACACTGTGTAATAGTTATAAAGTGAGATTTCCCCACATTAACCCCATATTCCCCTAGATAAAAATTGATTTGAACTACTGTTTACAGGGTTATTTTCGTCCCGTGTT